AAACAAAAACGACAACTTCCGGTTATAAGAGAAAAACTGCATATTTTCAGTTTTTTCTTTCCCATAAATATTTTTTATAGATAAAGTATTTGTTATGATTTTCGGTTGTGTTATTCAGACTGCAAATGTCTACAGTAACGTCAAATATCACTTCCGGTCGCGTGAATTCCTGTCCTCAAAATGAGAAGATATCATCGCTAGATCTACAAAACGGTTAGAGACTAAGACACCAAACTCATATAAGTGGTAGAACTTAATAAATAGGCAAAACCAGTTAGAAAAAGATCGGCCGCCGTCACTTCCGGTCCTCACAGGGAGTGATCAATTAAATAAAAAAAAAATTACTTTTCTTTTATGAAACCTTTTTACATCACATTATAGCATCTTATTTGTAGTTTCGAAATATGTCAGTCCCACTGGAAACAAAAACAACTTCCGGTTATAACAGAAAAACTGTATATTTTCAGTATTTTTCTTTCCCATAAATATTTTTATACATAAAGTATTTCTAATGATTTTCCGATATGTTATTCAGACTGCAAATGTCTACAGTAACTTCAAATATCTTTGTAAAATTCACTTCCGGTCGCGTGATTTCCTGTCCTCAAAATGAGAAGTTATCATAGCTAGATCTCGTAAACGTAAAGAGATTATACACCAAACTTATAGGCGTAGTAGATCTTGATGAGAAGGCAAATCCATTTGAGATAAGACAGTTCGTCGTCTCTTCCGGTCGTCACAGGAAGTGATCAAATAAATGAGAAATTTCAACCTTTCTTTTCTTCTTGGCAATACATTTTTGCATCTTATTTGTTGTTTCGAAATATATCAGTCCCACCGGAAACAAAAACGACAACTTCCGGTTATAAGAGAAAAACAACATAATTTGAGTTTTTTCTTTCCATTAGACATTTTTTTTTATAAAGTATTTGTAGCGATCAACGGGTGTAGGGGGTGTAACGTCAAGTATTAGTGTAAAATTTTACTTCCGGTGACGTGATTTCCTTTCTTCAAAATGAGAAGTTATTGAGAAATTTCAAAAACGGTAAGAGGTTAAGACACCAAACTTATAGAAGTAATAGATCTTCATGAGAAGGCTAATTCATTTTGGTTAAAATCGACCTCCATCACTTGCGGTCGCTACAGGAAGGGATCAAATTTATTTGAAAAATTTAAACTTTTCTTTTTGGAATCCTTCTTCGCATCTTATTTGTAGTTTCAAAATATGTCAGTCCTACCGCAAACCATCGTCGTAAACCATGGCCATAATGTACGATCCTCTCCCATTCTGGCCGTGGTTGAACGAGGAGAGAATTCTTCGTAGCTCATTAAAAAATTGACCAATGCGAGTAAAGCATAGTCGGATGATGAACTTAATTGCGACCTTTCAATGTCTAATCACAGTTTAGGAAATATTTCTTGCATACTGTTGACGTCAGTTGTTGATTTCAATTGCCATGGAAACAAAACTTGCCACTGTCTAAATATGACGTCACAATAGAGAGGCGTAAATATTCAATATTACGACGCGTTTTGTGATCAAGCAGCCACGGGTAGGAGAGAGCTATATGTATGCGGACTCCGGACCGTAGCTTGAGACGATGACCGGAAACAAAAACGACAACTTCCAGATATGAGAAAAAAAATTGAGTAGTACACTATCACATACATGTCTTTTATAGATTAGAGAAATGATTTTTGAACATGTTTTTTTAGACTGCAAATGTCTTGAGTTTCGTCCAATATCTTTTTAAAATTCACTTGCGGTTGCCTGTCCTCAGAAGCTCGGAAACGGCTAGAGATTAAGACACCAAACTAATATGAATAATAAATCTTGAAAAGTAGGTGAAAGATGTAGGGTGAAATGTGTCAGTCGTCACAGGAAGTGATCAAAGAGATTGAAAATTTCAGCTTTTCTTTCTTAAATCTTTATCTACAATACTTTATTACAAGTTGTCTGCAGTTTCGAAATATTAACTCCCACTGGGAAAAAAAACACGTTTACTTCCGGTTATGAGAGAAAAGTACATAATTTGAGTAATTCTACCTTCCTATAAATATCTAATAGAGATAAAGTATTTGAAAGGTTAGATATGTAATTTAGACTGCAAATGTCTAGAGCTACTGTATGTCAAATATCTTTGTGAAAAATTCACTTCCAGTGGTGTGTTCTTAAAATGACTTCTCTGAGCAAGACCTCGGAAACGGTAAGAGATTAAGACACTAAACATATACAAGAGGCTCTAGGGCCTTGAATCGCTCTTCTGATAAATTGTACAATCTATCATTTCTATTTAAAGCCTCTAACCCTAAGTATCCTAAGACCCAAGTTGCATCAACTGACAAAATTTGCTGATTCTTAGCCAATTAGGACTGAAAATATTCTTAATAATAAATCTATTAAAAAAAAACATAAGAACGTCACAGTGACTTACTTTGAAATTGAAGTTTTCTGAAGACTCAAGATGCATTAATAGTCAAAGATTGAAGATTCTAAGCCAGTAAGTATTTGAGATATTTAAAAGTAGGTCACCATGACCTATTTTTTTGTCTACATTCTTTGAAAACCCAAGATACATCAACTGACAAAGTTTGACGATTCTAAGCAAATAAGTACCTGAGATAGGTATTCAAAAGCAGGTCGACATGACCTACTTTTTGGTCGACATTCTCCGAAAAACCAAAGATGCCCCAACTGACAAAATTTTACAATTCTAGGTCAACCTGTCCTCGAGATATGAAAATATAGCCATAAAATGTCAAAAGTAGGTCAAGGTGATGTAATTTTTGGTTTGTGATCCCTGAAAACTCAAGATGCATCAACTGACAAAGTCCGATGATTCTAAGCCGATATGTACCTGAGAATAGTAAAACTTTGTCAGTAGATGCATTTTGGGATTTCCAAGGAAGTAGAAAAAAAGTAGGTCATGGTGACCTACTTTTGACATTTTATGGCTATATTTAAGTGTATCAAAAGTAGGTCACTGCGACCTAAATTTTTGTAGACAATTTTTGAAAACCCAAGATGCACCAACTGATGAAGTTTGATGATTATAAGCCAATAAGTACCGTATATATATTCAAAAGTAGGTCACCATGACCTACTTTTTGGTCGACATTCTCTAAAAACCCAAAATGCATCAACAAACAAAGTTTGTTGATTCTTAACCAGTAAGTACCGTAGATACTTAAATAAAGCCATAAAATGTTAAAAATTAGGTCACTATGACCTACTTTCTGGACATCATTCTCCGAAAACCTAAGATGCACCAACTGATGAAATTTGATGATTCTAAGCCATAAGTACTGTAGATACTTAAATAAAGCCATAAAATGTCAAAAGTAGGTCACCGTGACCTACTTTTTGGTAGTCACTCTCCGAAAACCTAAGACGCATCAAATCACAAAGTTTGACGATTCTAAGCACATAAGTACCTAAAATACTTAAATAAGGCCATAAAATGTCAAAAGTAGGTCAGTGACCTACTTATTAGACATCATTCTCTGAAAACCCAAGATGCATCAACTCACAAAGTATGATGATTTTAAGGCAATAAACACCAAAGATACTAAAATATAGCCATAAAATGTTGAAAGCAGGTCATCATGACCTATATTTTGGTCGACATTTTTCAAAGTCCCAAGATGCATCTGCTGACCAAGTTTGATGATCCTAGGTCTGAAGGTAATCAAAATATGCCTTTTAAACAATTCGAAAACAAATGCCTGCAAAATTCAAAAAGTAGGTCACAGTGACCTACTTTTTCATAAATATGTTTTAAGGTCCCAAGATGCATCAACTTACAAGATTTGATGATTCTAAACCTCTCTGTGTCTGAAATAACTGGATTAAATGGTTTAAAAAGAATTGGTCATAAAGTTCAAAAAGTAGGTCACGGTGACCTACTTTTAAGTTGACGTTATTCAAGGACCCAAGATGCATCAACTGACAAAGTTTGATGATCATAGGCCTTAAAGTGTCCAAAATATGCCTTCAAATCAATTTGAAAACAAATGCCCACAAAATTTAAAAAGTAGGTCACCGTGATCTACTTTTGAGTTAACATGATGTGAAGTCCCAAGATGCATCAACTTACAAGATTTGATGATCTTAGTCCTAATAGTAAGCAAAATATAAATGTTTTTATTACTTGTAAATTTAGGTCAACTTTGAAGTGACCTTGAGACCACGCCCTTTGCCCCAGGGTAATTTCCCGTGCAAATTTTAATCTTCAACATACCCTGATCCTTGTATGTAAGTTTGGTGAAAATCTGCCTGGTGGTTCTGAAGAAGATTTTTTAGCAACCAGTACTTTTGGTTTTGTTTTCCTGATCATCTCCCCTTGTTTAAGGGTCCTAACCCTTATTTTAGTATAAAGGGTAGCCCTTGGGCCAAGGATACCCTGTTACAAATTTGACACTGATTGGCCAAGGGGTTCTTGAGTTATGGCCCATATTCTAAAAAGTTAATGCACACCCCACAAATGGCCATAGCATTAGCTCTTTGAGCCTTTGGCTCAGAAGAGCTAATGAGTAATAAATCTTGAGGAGTAGGAAATACAATCTGGATTAAACGCCCCAGTCGTCACAAAAAGTGATCAAATAAATCGAAAATTCAATTGTTCTTTTTAGAAATCTTTTTTTCATCACTTTATTGAATCTTTTTCCCTGTTTTTTGAAATATGTTCTACGGGAAAGGAAAACGTAAACTTCCGGTATGAATAAGGAAAAAAACTTCGTAGTTTGAGAAGTTAATATCTTTTAAATATAGTGTTTGATATGATATTTCGGTGTGTAATTCAGACTGTAAATCTCTACATTAACGTTGAAAACCTTTGCAAAATTTAAAGACAACATTGAATGAGGTGCGTTCTGTAGTCTCTGATTACCTATCTTTATGATAGAAACATAAAAAATAATTCAAATTCTAATGACAATATTTTATTAGCAACATAAAATATTCCAAAAGTGAAAGGTGAACTTTTAACATCTGCCAATAAAAGACCATAATAACATTTCATTGCAATTCTTTCATTCAATGATTGATATTCAGTCCTTTCGCTCTGAAGAAACCTGGAAGAGTTAAAGATCATGGTTCAAGTGAGCTGTTCAACATCATGAACTGTTGCTTCTTTTCTTGAAAAATGGTTCTGAAAATAAAAGAAAGAATACTCACAATTTAAACTACCATTACTTTTTTTGGAGGGGGTGGGGTGTGTGTTAAAAATATGCATCCTCTTTTTAAAAGGACAGACGATATGTTCCTAAATAATATTTTTTTGAGAATTTATCATTGAAGTATTGCTTCTTTAAGACATTACTAACAAAGAGGAAGAGCCATCTTATGCATAGAATGGCCCTGTACATATATCAATTAATTAACTATCACCCTCTTTCCCACTTCATATATCAAAATAAAGTAGACACCTGGTGCTTTCATTTTCTATAATAGAATTTCGTTTTTGAGAATCCAGATATTGAATAACAGGTTTGAGAAATTGCAATGTTCTTGAAATGTGCAGAAAACATGTGTATTTGACGACCTTTAGCAAAGAATTAAAATATGAGCACAGCCCACGATCCAAAAAATAAAACATGTTTTTTGATCTTCAAAAACAGAGCTTTCATTATGTATTTGCATATTTTGGATCAGAGGTTGTGCTCTATATGAAATATTGAAAAAATGTTTTAACTTTAGGTCATTTTCAAAGGAATTTACAGAATATGAGGAAAATGACGCATTCTATGACGTCATAATGCATTGACTAGATGGAAAATTACGTCACAATTAAAAGATTCGTGGTCACCAACACTCTAAGTGATGAATACTACATTTGCAACCTAAACTGAGCGTTTTTAATTTTTCAGAAATTTTCAGGGCCAAATATTGCCCAACTTGGCTCTTGCTCTTAGGGTACCTTTCCAGGGATTTGTGCAAGCTATAAGATAGAGATAGGGTATCCCCTCCCGTCCACTTTTTTTTTGCAAATAAAGACATAGTATAGACATTGAGCATTAGGGCATATTTTCCCCTTTCCCCTCTTAAAATGCACAGATTACAGAGTATTCTTAAGAAGGTAAGTGGTAGGATGTTGGGAAAAAGAGATTAATCAACACACACCATTCTCGTATAGGATTTTCATATTTTGACAAATTACTATTTCCCCTTTTTTTATGGAAGAACATTTATCGAGAAATGACTAAAAAAGTATCAGATATAAAGCAATACAAAATAGGAACACAAGATGTGGGATCAGTTGCCATGAAGGAGTGAGCATCCCCTGCTGACCAGTCACACCCACTGTGTGCTCATTCTCATAATCGGAAAATTAAAAAGAAATCTGTTAATTAATTAAATAAATAATGGACTAACAATTTGTATGAAAAACTTCAGTCATCATTTGACTCCATGATAAATTGTAATTGCATCAACCATTTAACGAAATTATGATACTAAACGAGACTGCTGAAATTCTTGTTTCATCAACTTATTTGTCAATAATTTACCTTGTTTAAGCAATTGTTCATTAGAATAGCATGCTCTTCCACATCGAATAAATTAGAATATAGAGTATGTTACTGAGAATCTACTGAGATATATACACTCCATATGCAGGTGATGAAGGTATATTGCTCCACAAGTAAGGGAAGTTGACGATAGACAAGAGGCCAACGGGCCTTATATGTCACCTGATTATTGTGTAACAACTTTCAAACAATTAACTTTGGATTGTGTTTTAAACTAGAGGCCATGAAATTCACAATTCTTAATTCTGAAAGAAGCACAATTGCTTATAATAATTATTAACTTATCATGCTTACTCTATTTACTTTTAAAATACTCAGAGGCAGATCACAGTAACAACGAGAAAATGCATTTCCACTTTGTACCCAGTTGTGCACCTCACCCCAAAGGAACCACTGACCCAAGGGCCACATATTTCAAAATTTTGCAACTTTTATCATAAAATGTTTGATTAATACCAAAGAGCAGATTTCAAAGCATTAATTTATTTTCAGACTATGTAATCCCCCCCCCCCTCTGACCCAGGGGGCATAAAAAACCACTTTGCTAGATGCACCTTTCTTCATCATTAATATATATACTTGGATCATTGGCATTAAACCAAAGAGCAAAGGAAAATATTTTCATAGAATTTTTACTATATAACCAATAGAGCCCCGCCCTAACACCAGAACCCCTGACCCTGGGGCCATAAAATTCACAAATCTGGAAGAGGCACTCTTGCTCATCATAACTATGTACTTAGTTAGTTTATTTAATACCCAGGAGCAGAGAAGATTTTCAAAGAATAAATACATTTTCACTATATAATCAATAGGGCCCCACCCTAACACCAGAACCCCTGACCCTGGGGCCATACATGTAATATTCACAAATCTGGAAGAACCACTATTCCTCATCATAACTATGTACTTAGTTTATTAAATACCCAGGAGCAGAGAAGAAGATTTTCAAAGAATAAATGCATTTTTCACTATATAATCAATAGAGCCCCGCCCTAACACCTAACCCTGGGGCCATAAAAAAAAAAAAATCTGGAAGAGGCAGTCTCGCTCATCATAACTATGTACTTAGTTAGTTTATTTAATGTCCAGGAGCAGACAAGAAGATTTTCAAAGAATTTATGCATTTTCACTATATATTCTATTTAGCCCCGCCCTAGCAGTAAAAAAACTGATCCAGGGGTCATGAATTTCAAATTTTGGTAGAGGACTCAATACTGATTACAATCATGCCAACAGTTGGCCTGCTTGATGTCCAGGGGTAAAGAAGAAGATTTTTAAAGATTGCAATAATTTTAGTGGTTTTGGTCCCACCCCTCAGACCCCAGGGGGGCGGGGACCATGAAGTTAACAATTTCTGTTCCCCTTTACCCATTGATGCTGTATACCAAATTTGGTTGAAATTGATTCAATGGTTTTAGAAAAGAAGCTGAAAATGTTCAAATGTTCACACACGACGGACGAAAACAGATAGCAAAAGTTAAAGTTATCACGTTTATCATATAGCTTGGTTGTTAGATTACCATTAATGTATTTTTCAAGGAAAAATATCCAAATATGAAACAGATGTGTAAATTCTTTATGTTATCTTTTATCTATGCTCAACAAATGTCATATGGACATGAAAATGGACCAAAAAAGAGAAAGTGCTTTGTACATTTCACATGTATATTTCTGTTGCATGACCTTTTAAATACACAGAAGGACTAAATCTAAGAACAAATGTTTTGACCTCTTTTCAAAAGTTTGTTTTCCTATACTTTTCAGTAGATAAGGATTTTATATTAGACATGTGCATTTCCTTTGATAACAATATTTATGTCATTAATGGTCTTAAACCTAAACTTACAAACAAGAAGTTTGACCTATTTCCACACCTGTTTGAGAATTTAATATGCTATTGTATTTAGATTCTTAAAGATTTGTTGTGAGATTTGGCATTTGCCAGTTAATTTCCTTTTCCATAATTACATATATTAAAAGAGAACACTGCTTTTCTGATTACACGAAAACATTGTTTAACAACAAGGTCATTTTTATACCATAGCTTGGCAACGTTTATCGTTAGGTGTTTGAAACGTCTCTTATTTAGCGATAAATAAGGTCATTAAAAGTTTATCATACGAAAAAACTGTTAAACCAATTAACTTGTTTTGATTTCGTAATTTTCATAATGGCAAAACTTTGACGTATTTGATAAAAATCCGTAAAAAATAATCGTAAGAGTAAACAGGAAACTATTTTTTTAACCAGAAATATCTGTCAAAACATGTATACTGGTTTAACTATAACAAAGGAAGAGAAAAGAAGCCATTGAAATCAGACCAAAACTGTAGGAGGAGGAGTGTTTTAAAGGAATTTCATAGAAATTTCTATTTTTAATATTTTGTTCATTAAACAAATTTTATTGTAATCACACAAAACTGTAGGAGGAGTAGCGTTTTACAGGAATTTCACAGAAATTTCTATTTTTATTAACCATGGCAACATCGTTCATTGAATCAAAACCAATGATCTAAATTATGTATCTTAGTGTATTCTACTTATGTGCAAAGTTATACTGAAATCAGACCAAAACTGTAGAAGGAGTAGCATTTTGAAAAATTGTTTACAGACAGCAGATGATGGACATCTTATATCGCTCTTCTGGTCTCTGGTTAAAGCTCAAAATCAACTTTGGTGATAACTTTGTAATAACAAGTGATATGTCATTCATACTTAAAACAATATGTCATAACAAGAGGCCCATGGGCCACACCACTCGCTGAGAAGCTTTGACCATGCTATTCCTATCCAGATTTTATCCTTGTGACCTATTGTGACCCCATCGTACCCCATGGGTCATAATTTGGATATTTTAAAATCTACACTACTCCAGGATGCTTCCATATAAATTTCAGCTATTCAGGCCAAGTAGTTTTTGAGAAGATTTTGAAATTTTTCCCCATATATATCTATGTAAAACTGATTCCCCTTGTGGCCCTACCCAACCCCCAGAGGTCATGATTTGAACAATTAAGAATATACACTACCCCAGGATGCTTTCACATAAGTTTCAGCCTTCCTCGCCCAGTAGTTCTTGAGAAGATTTTTAAAGATTGTTGTTATAAATATATTTCTATGTAAAACTTTGATTCCCTATTGTGGCCCACTCCAGCCCCCGGGAGTCATGATTTGTAAAATTTTAAATCTACACAACCTCAGGATACTTCCACATAAGTTTCAGCTTTTGTAGTCCAGTGATTCTTAAGAAGAAGATTTTTAAAGATTTTTGCTATATATACTCAACAAAAAAAGAAACGCATATTCAGATTAAACATGATAATTTATGTTTTCAGTTAAATCCTTATTTTCTAAGAAGTGATTTCAGATGGTTTTAAGAACAAGAGGCCCAGGGTAAGTAGAAAACATCGCTCACCTCCAATTGGCTAAGAAAAAGCACTTTGATAAAAAGTTTACATGAGAGGGTGGGTGGGTGCCTTTGGGGGGTGGAGGGGCTTGAATTTTAACCCCCAGGGGGTCATAATTTGAACAAACTAGAATCTACACTACATGAGGATGCTTCCCTATAAATATCACATAGCATGGCTTTGAAGTACTTGAAAAGAAGATTTTAAAAGGTTTCCCTATATATTCCTATGTAAAACTTTTATCGGCCATTTGGCCCCACCCTACCCTTGGGGGTCATGATTTGAACAAACTTAAATATACACTACCTGGGGCTGATTCCATAGGAGTTTCATTTTTCCTGTCTCAATGGTTCTTGAGAAGAAGATTTTTAAAGATTTTTCCTATATATTCCTATGTAAAACTTTGATCGGCCATTTTGGCCCCACCCTACCCCTGGGGGTCATGATTTGCACAAACTTGAATCTACACTACCTGAGGATGATTCCACATGAATTTCATCTTTCCTGGCCCAGTACTAGTGGTTCTTGAGAAGAAGTTTTTTAAAGAATTTTCCTATATATTCCAATGTAAAAATTTGATCGGCCATTTTGGCCCCACCCTACTCCCGGGGGTCATGATTTGAACAAACTTGAATTTACACTACCTGAGGATGATTCCCCATGAGTTTCATCTTTCCTGGCTCAGAGTTTCTTGAGAAGAAGATTTTTTAAAAATGCCATTAATTTTTCTCTAATTCATAATTATCTCCCCTTGGAAAAGGGCGTGGCCCTTTATTTGAACAAATTTGAATCCCCTTTACCTAAAGGTACTTTGTAGCAAATTTGGTTGAAATTGGCCCAGCGGTTCTTGAGAAGAAGTCGAAAATGTGAAAAGTTTACAACGACGACAACGACAGACGACTGACAAATTTTGATCAGAATAGCTCACTTGAGCCTTCGGCTCAGGTGAGCAAAAAATCAAACATATCCTGTGTTGTAAGTAGAAAAGTGAAGTTTTTGTCATTGTCGACACCTCCAAATTTAAGGGGCATAACGCCTTAACCAATACATATATCCTTTGCAAGTTTAAGCGCTGATGGATTTCCAATGTATGGATATTGTCCATGAGTCATAATTTTGAAACCCAAAATAAAAAATAATAGAATAAAAAAATTTGCCCCTCGGTGAAGCTCCTTTCGTCTCTTGTGAACAATTTTGCCTTTTTATGCTGATTTTTTTCATTCAGCAATTGTAGCAGCAGTTTTTACAGCAAGTTATGAATTTCGTGAGGTGCTGAAAGGGGAAGGGGGGTCTGGCGCAGCTCTCTCACTCCTCGTAAAGTGCCCCGCCCCGTTTGTTTTATTAGTATTTATTGTATTACACGTTACATGTCGCTATTTTTAGCACAGGGACATGAGGAGAATTATTACGTATAAAACAGGTTCTCGGTAGACTTTATATTCTCATTACATCTATTTGAACTGTTTAATAAAGGTTAAATTAGACACCATGTGCATTGTGTAAAATTTTGACAATATCGAACGTGAATATATACATGTATGTCACTTCATGTTTGTATAAGATTGTCAAGCGTTACAGCGGCTCCGTGGTCTAGTGGTAATGTCTCTCGCTTCACATGTGAGAGGGCCCGGGATCGCATCTCCGATGATTCCCTTTTTTTTTTCAAAATACTTTCTTCTTTTTACTAAACGATAGTATTCAGCATGTGAAATGAAAAATTTATGAGGTCTGGCTTGTACAAACTCATAATATCATCATTACAGTGTGATAAATATTCCATATATATAAAAAAGAATCTTCTACACACATAATAAAGAATAATCCATTAAACCTTTATATCCATATTGGCATATGAAGGGGATCCGACCCCCCAGCCCCCCCCCACCCCCGGCCCGAACTGCGCATGGTTTATTTTTCTCTAAGCGGAGTACACAAATTCTCTGAATTAGCTTTTTTTCCTTTACTATAGTAAGCTTACGGAAAATTGTATACTTTGTGTAGAAGATTTAATTCAGATTTGAAAGATATAGTCGAAAACAATTCATAACAATATTTTCATAAAATTATAGAATATCCAATTATTTAACATGTAAGCAGCAGGCATTAAATTTTTCTCCAAAGTTTACCACTTTATTTATGCACCCGTAAACGAAGTTTTGGGGGTATATAGTTTTTGTCTGTTTCTCTGTCTAGCTGTCTCGTCTGTTTGTCCGCAAAAACTTTAACCTTGGCCATAAATTTTGATTTAGTGGATCCATGACTTTCATATTTCACATTTGTATTCCTTGTGACAAGACCTTTCTTTGACTGTGGAGTTTGACCCACTTTTACATGAAAATTTTTTAACTTTTACTTCGGCCATATCTTTTGAACAGTAGATACCAGGACATTTATACTTCACATATGTATTCTTTTTTGAAAGACCTTTCATTGGATACCAACTACCTTGACCCTTTGACCTTGACGATTTCTGTACTTGTGAAAAACTTTAACCTTGGCCATAACTTTTGAACAGTAAGAGATAGGGCTTTCAATGTATGTACTGGTAATCCTTGTCAGAAGACCCGTCATTGGATACCATGAACTTTGGCCATTTGACCTTGACCTTTGAGTTTGACCCACTTTTAAAAGCAAACTTTGACCATATCTTTTAAAGGGTTAAGGCTAGTGCTTTCATACTTATTCCTTGTCATTCCTTGTGACAAGAACTTTCATTTTATAACAAGAACTTTGACCATTTGACTTTGGAGTTTGACCTAATTTAAAAAAAATAACCTACGCCATAACTTCTGAACCATTAGAGCTTGGGCTTCCATACTCTATACAAGTATTCTATGTGGCAAGACCTTTCATTGGATACCAATTACCTTGACCTTTTCTCCTTGACCTTGAAGATTTTTGTACTTCTTGAAAAAAAATTTTAAATTGGCCTTCATTCAAATTTCACAATTATTTTCCATTGCGAATACCCTACTTTTGGTATCATTTAATTAAATTTGCTTTTAAGAAAAGTTTAATCTTTATTATGTTGGCAAACGGGGGCATCAGTGTTTCACAAACACATCTCATTTCCAAAAGTAAACACTAAATTTTAACACAATTTGAATTCTTTCGAATAAAAATTATAGGTACAATTATGTAGTATACTATGTGGAAGGAGATAAATTTGGAAAAAATCATTTTCTTTAATTTAAGAAAGGGAGACAAGTATAATTTGAAATTTTTTTTTCAGGATGAGGATATTGAAAAATTAAATGCATTCAACAAGAAGAAAGTTTATATTTACAGGGAGATCCTAAATATGCAGAGCACATTCTTTTAACAAATATTTAAACATACATGTTTGATGAATTAATCATAAATTAACATCTTGCATATAAATCCTCTCAAAATACAAAATTTTATAAATATAAACCAATGCATTTCTCAAAACTTATGTGGACATATTACCTTCAATTTGTAGATATTTTTCCATCTTCTGTAAATGTACAGTTTACTGCATGGAAGTCTGGTCATTGAAAGTGGATGTGGATTCTAATCTGCATCTCTGTGAAGATTTCTAAACACAATAAAAACACAAATATTACCAATATATAATACTTGATATCACATAATTTCAAGACTATGCTCTTCTTTACAAAGAAATTCACTTCTTCTTTATCATTAATTATTTATTAAAAAAAATATAATGTCATTCCAACAATGTCAAACGATCTGTTAACCATTGAAAAGCAACCAAAATTATAACTGAATATAGAGAAAGAACTAAACTTAGTAAAAGGACCAATGACTTTGAAATAAAGATTATATCTGATAATAGATTGACTAAATCCATTTCTCATCAAGCAAGATGAAAAGTAATTTCTGTTTAAAGAATGTGAACTCAAAATTAGTCTGAACTTTTATTTTATTGATTTCTCACATGAATTTCAATGGCTTCATGATAACTGAAAAACAATGACTTTTTGTGCACACAGGCTTCCAGAGAACCAGTAACATATACATGATCTAATGTTGTTCCACCTTCTGTTGTGTAAAACTGCACTAATTGCATAAATCCCATTGATTCCAAAAACGTTTGTATGGGTCCTTGCACTTTAGCATCTTCATTCAGGTCACCAATAATAATCAAGTTGCTAAAGCGTTTCTTGTAAAAATCCACCAGTTTTTGCAATGTGTCAAGAAAATTGTTTAAAGGCAGTATACTTGGTCGGTAGAGCACAATGATTGCGAAATCCTCCTCATGTATTTCTACAGTTAATCCCTCTACATTCTTGTATTCCAAAGCATTGATCAAGACTGTCTCGTTTGTTTTCTTCTTGTACACACCAACCCCACCACCTTTAGCTGTTTTTAATCTTGTCATCACATCTTCACTACCATCGTAACACTGGTTACGTGCAATATGGTGAAAGTCAAACCCTGAAATTTCAATATCTTGAATGTTCTCATGTTCTCTCAGCCATGTTTCTGTTAAACATACGAAATCAGCTGTCCTTAACCTGTTGTCACAATTCATCTCCTGAAAGTGTCCTCTCAAACTCTGTACATTAAACAAAAGAATTGTTTTGTAATTTCCAAACTTTGTTAAATTGCATGTCCATTCTTCATCTAAAATGTATCTCTGCATTCTATTGAGGGCTAACTTCACATCTAAATCAGCATAAATTTTTTTCTGCAGGACACTTTCATCATTTGTCTCAATGAACAGACCATCCTTTGATGTAACTCGGCTGATGGCGACATATGCTTGACCAGGAGAGAAAGTCCGATCTAAATTCACAACAACATTCTTGGCAGTCATGCCTTGAACTTTATGTGCTGTGCATGCCCATGACAATTTCAGTGGAAATTGATGCCTGACAACACTCTTTATATTTTTCTCATTTATCTCTTCCTCCACTCTTTTAATTGGGACAATATTTCCTTTTGGTGTTTTCTTCCCTTGTATTTTACCAATACTAGAACTATCAAAAATGACTTCAACTACTTCTACTGCATGTGCAGGCTGTGTTCTTTTAAACACAAAATTTGAAATATATCCCATTGCACCATTCACTAGCCCATCCTCAACACAAACATTTCGTGTTAGCATTACTCTTGCATTCACAGCCAAAAGTAAGGAAGCAGAGAGGCCATCAACTCGGGTACTAACCAAAGGTTTGTCACGTAATGTTAATTTCCCTGTTGTCTTGTCTTTCTGGTAATCTTCAGCATCCACTTCTATCAATTCTTCACAATTCCCATGCAACATTTTAAGATTGAATTCATTTGCCTCTTGGTTTGTAGAATAAACATGAAGAACATCATCTGGTCCTTCTCTGATGCATTCCCGCAGTGTTTCCAATGCTTCGTCTGATAAGGGTTCTTCACATGTTCGAATACGCAATGAATTCAGGACAGTTGCAAATGCTTTATCTTCACGCTGTCGCATTATTTCGTCCAATTCTACAATTTCAAAAAAATCTAGCCAGTAGTCAATTGGATATGATCCATTTTCTTTATACAACCTCTCATCTTTTCGTTGTTTAACAGGTGGAAGTTGATAAAAATCTCCAACTGCTATCACAGATACGCCACCAAATGGTTCTTTACACTTCTTTATTTGGACAAGTCGTTCGTGAATGTAATACAATAGTCTTTTGTACACCATGGAAACCTCATCAATGACCAAAATCTGCAAATGTTCTAGTCTGGTTCTTATCCCACCCAAACTCTGTTCCTTCAAGGGTTGATATGGAATTGGTAAAGCTTTTGTTAAAGAAAACACATGATGAATGGTATTTCCTCCAATATTGAATGCAGCTGTTCCTGTAAAAGCTGTGAGAATCACCGATACTGCATTTGGAGAAGGCAGTGATTTTTCAAAGAGACGAGATGCTTCATAGTGTATTGTCTTAATCAGATGGCTTTTCCCTGTCCCTGCTCCTCCAGTTACAAAAATGTGCATAGGTTTCACATTCTCTCCAGATATTTTCTTGACACACCATTCATGAACAGCATAAAAAATCAGCTTCTGTTTGTCATTCAAACTGCACAGTAAAGGAAGCATCTCTTTTCTGGTGGTTTGAGTTTCCCTTAAATGATAAATAGCATCTTCAGAACTACTCCCCTCAATTTCGTTTGTGACCTCTGATTCTGTAACCTCTTGATCATTTGTTCTTAATTTTTCATTCAAACATTCTCTTCGATTCAATTCTGTTTCTGGGCATAAACTTGCCCATGCATCCTCTGGTTCACCAAGCATTTCTAATGCATCCTGGGCATTTTCAATATCATCCTCACTTTTTGAAAAGTAAACATGATTACTATCCACTATGCTTTTTACTTTCTCTAAGTTTCTGTTTGGTTTCACTCTCACATGACCAGTCTCATAAAAGGTCTGGTACAAATCAAATCCAGTTGGTCTCAACTGATTCAGATTCCAGTATGGAAGAAAAAGTTGTAGAAGGCACTGATAATATTTCTCAGGTGCGTTATCTCGATGGAATCTTGGATATCGTATAACAGCAGGTTTGCCTCTACTTCTCTTTTGAATGTAACCCTTTCCATTTCTCAATTCATACACACCATCTTTTTTGCCCTTAGGAACCTGAGATTTGCTAAGCACTCTGTACTCTGAACAGAATTCAGCAAGACACATTTTATGGAAAAGATTCAACTCCGGACGGTTTTCATACCTTTCCACAATATTTGTCATCCACATACTATTTTCTTCTTCATCATCATTGTCATCTGCAATTAAATCATTTTCATCTATCTCAACTTGCTGATTCTTTTTTATTTGTGCAAGAGGCTTACTCAAACGAGTCGGATTTTCCCCTACAGGTATGAAAATGACTTTTCTTGAACTTTCTTTCATCTTAAGATTGCACACCCTGTATACTGCTTCCTGTGCACTGACTTCTCTGTGATTTAGATAAGCTGATCCTACCCTCTTGATGGTATCATGTGCACTCAAATTTCCCTCTGCTGCTTCTATTTGAGTTTGCTTTAATAGCATTCCCATTTCCCTCTCAGACTTTGAAATGTATGATATAATGTAGACAATGCAGCTGAAAGGGTCCAATACATACTGTATATCCATATTGGCATCCCAGCTTTTGAGCAGGCATGGGTTGTACTGATTTGTCCACATTTCTGTTGGATTTCGTTTCAAAACAGTCGTTGTTTTAGAGGCCAATACCCTGTGTGCTTTTTCATACAAATCCTGTGAAAGGTTAATATTGCTGAATATTTCCTCTGTTGTTTTACATGCCTTAGCATCATCCATTACTTCATTCCATACCTTCAACAAAATCTCCTTTGCCTGCACACTACCTAACTCACTACTTGAATCATCCACATTTTGTTCCAGTTGTCTTGAAATGAATGTGTGCTCTGAAGGCGGTCTTGGAAAATTAAATCTACATTCTGTTCCTTTCTTCCTGCATGATTTTGAGTGTCCTTTGCTGTGTTGTTGTACATCCAATACAATTTGTCTAAGTTCCTGGTCAGTGTCCTCTGATGGCAAAGCACATGTAATATGCCTATCAATGAAGTGACAAATAGTCTCCTCACTATCCTCATCCAACTTAGGAGCATTCTCAGCCCAGTACAAGCAGTGCATATGAGGAGAACCCCTCTGCTGAAACTCAACTCGTACAAAGTAATCTACAATATTCCCTATGGGTTTTGCTGGTGACATTATTACATTGTTCTGGAATACATGGAACCTATGTTCAAACATCCTAGCAACCGTTACAGGATTGCTTCTCAGAATTTCACTTTTCTCAGACCAATCTAGATCAGACGGATTTCTATTGTCATTCATATGTAGCATAATTGAACCCAGTATCTCATTCCACCTGAATTCTGCTGCAGAAAAAGAACAAAACCATGTGGGGATTCCAAGTTGTCGAAGCATAGCAAAAAGATCTTTTTGTGTACTTGACCAATATGCAGGTGTTCCTCTTATTGGCTGCATAAATCGCATAGCCTCATTACTCTTAAGCAGTTTTGCAAGCACAACAGGATTTTGTAACATTTCTGTAGTGACAGGTATCCCTCCATCAAGTTTCGATACAGATTTGCGAATAGAAATTTGTGTTTTCTCAATAACCTGGTTCAATTCAGATAGGTACTGACAAAAGAAAATGTAATTGGTATCCTTTGCAAATCTGTTATCTGCATTCATCAGTCTGTTGTTAAAATATCGAGAAAGGGTAATCCTTACATCTCGACTTTCATTCCATGAATATTTTCCAGTTGGAAATAAATGAGGAAAAGTTTTTGCTTCATTGCCCTCCTCTTGCAACATTCTTACTGGATTCTGTCCTTCACCTGGAGCAAGATTATAAACATCATCGAAGTAGTGATCAAGGACATCTTGTGCAATATCTACAGGCTGTAAACAAGTATCTGTGGCAACTTCTTGAATTACACTGTTCTGTTCTTCAATTATTTCTTCACTGTCAAATGCTTCTGGCTGGCTGAATAAGGTACATTGGTCATTTTCCTTTTCCCATGTTGTGTTGATTTCAACATCATGATACCACTGATTGTTTTCTTTCAGGTAGT